TTTAAAATTAACACTGTTTAAACTATGTAATATTTACCTTGACATAACCACACTTTTCATCTATGTCAACACTGAACTTTAGTTCAATGCGCATGATCGACTTAATTGGTGATCAACTAGAACACAGTGAGTCTGGCACTTTTCGTGCATATTTTTCAGACATTTGTAGAAGCAGAGTTTGGTCTCCTTACTCTTTCTTCCTGAGTAGTCGTTCGGCTCTGTCTCGACTGACTTTTTGATGGAAGAACTTAGGTAATTGCAAGCGTTGCAGATGCAAAGTTTTTATTTCAAATCCAACGCTCAGACTCGACTACTTATTTGATACAAAAAACACACAAATGCCTTTAACTAAGTTATAAAGTTATAAAAAATTTCTGAATTGAGAAAAGCTAGGAATTTATAGTTTAAAGTACAGTAAATTGAAAAATTAACAAAACAAATTGTTTAAACAAAGTTTAAATAATTAATTTTTAATTTTTTTTATATTTGAATGTTGTAGTTACAAGAAAATGCACAATACAGCAGAACAAAATTTCTAACAGTAAGTACACTTTATGAGAAAAATAACAATTAATTGTTTAAACAATTTCTAAATAAATAATTTTTAATTAATTATTATCAGTAGGTTCATATTTTACTAATGAAAAATTGACCAATTCAGAAAATACAAGTTATTTCTTGCCTTAAGTAGAGTAGAAGGGGGTAATGTAGTGCACTTTTCTTTCGGAGACTCCTGTGGTCGCAATTTTCAACCAATTTTGATCATTAAGAACTCGTTGGAAAGACAATGCTTCTAGCTACATTTATGGTGTACATTATTTTTTTGTAGATGTAGATGGAGCTTTTCTATATCCAAAAAACTGAAAGCACTTTTTTCGACATTCTAAAATTTGTGGGGCAATGTAGTGCACCACTTTCTTAGTGGAATAAAAAGCAGAGAATATATCATAAACGATTTTATTTTATTAGATATAACATTAGGAACATAAGAAACTTAAAAAACTATAAACTAGTAGTGATGCCCACAAGACGAGACTTTGCATGTAAAAACCGAGACGAGATCGAGACTTTGCATGGTATCATCTCATCTCGTGGATAGCACTATAAACTAGAGATTTCTTTGGTCCTGTGTTAGTTAAAACTAAAAGAAAACTGCAAAAATTTGCAAAAAGCAAACATGGTTAAATAATACATATTTACGGTACTCTGTATAATTGCACTACATTGTCCCCAACCCCGTGCACTACAATGCCCCCAAGCACTTTTTTCACGTTGACTTCAATATCTCAATAAAAACAAAATTAAACATCAAAACAATACTAAATTTGTGTTGAGTCAAAACGCGTCAACCGTGAATACATTTTTTTTATAGTTTTGGAAAAGTCAAAACATTTATGAAAATCTGTAGTTCACAGCAAACCAAAAAAACACTTTTAACCGTTTTTCAAAATTTTAAATATTTATACCTTTTTTTATGATAAAAAATTTTTGCATTATTTAAGAAAAAAATTAATAACTCATTACTGTTTTGCTAGAAATTAATGGCAATTTTTTTGGTAGTCATTGAATATCCACTCTTTTAAATAAACTTAATTGTGAAAAAAAATTTTGAAAAATTTTTAATTTTTAATAACAATTTTATAAACAATTAGTGTTTTTTATGTTTTCTAGAGCAAGGATTTTAATGAAATTTATATGTAGGATACATTAAACCTACATCTTTATATTCCCGAAAAAAAAAATTTGTATTTCCAATTACAACCGGAGATTTTGAATTTTTTGTTGCGCCGTGCGCCGTCACCGCGGCATCCATCGCTGTGATAAATGCGAATACATAAGTATTCCCGTTTCTTAATATTTTTGTAGTAAATTCTCAATTTTCATAAGGAAATAATCTGCATAATTTCTAAATTGCTTTAATATAATTCAAAGTTTTTTAAAAATAAATAAAAAAAACGTTTATAAATTCTATTTGTCAATTACAAATTTTGATTGAAAATGAAATTTAAATTTTTTAAATGTTTAGAAAATAAAGCAAAAAATTTTACTGACAAAAATGTTCTGTTACATTTATTTACGAATTTTTTTAATTGTAAAATTATTCGTAAACATCAATAACTTTTTTTTAAATAAACATTTAATTATTATTATTTATCCACAGGAATTAAGATTTTCAAAAATTTTAAATTCAAACTTTTTTGAAATTAAACAACTTGTAAAAATATTGTTAACATGAAGATATCGATTGCTCCGAGTCGAAGACTCGGAGTGATAGATTTTTTCATGTTTTCATTAAAACATTTAATTTCTTCATTATTTTATATTATAAGAATATTGTTACTGTAACTTCTTCAAAATTATTTTCATCATTTTAATTTAATTATTATTTTCTAGAATTTTTAATTATTTTTTGCTTCCTCGTGAGGAAGCTTTGTAGTCGTTTAATTTACAAAATTTTTAAAAATCCTTTTAACAAATTTTCTTCTATATAGGACTATGTTATATAAGACCCTGAACAATTGTCCGGATGTATGTATGGATGTATGTATGGATGTGTGTAAGAAAAATTCTCAAAAAAAAATTTTTTTTTGACTTTTTTCTAAAAAATTTTTTTTTTTTAATTTTTTTAAGTTGGTTATTGAAGTTAATATATAATAAAATCTTATTCTTTGCATCAAGACGAATCGATTGGTATATAAAAAGTATAAATTGTATAAGAATTTACAGAGTTAATCACAATTAAAGCTGAAAAATTCGCATTTTTATCAAAAAATGAGTTCTTTCCGCAAAATTATGTTGGCGTATAAGAAAATCTTACTCATTTAATTCTAAAATCTTATTCTTTGCACCAAGACGGATCGATTGGTATATGTAAAGTATATATTGTATTCAAATTTATAGAATTAAAAGTTAAAACCAATTATAGACAAAAAATTTGGACTATTAATAAAAATTCATTTTTTCTTAAAAATCATGTTGCTGTACAATAAAATGTTATTATTTATTGAAAAATAAATCAAAAATCTTATTCTTTAAATCAAGACGAATCGATTGATGTATATAAAGTATATATTCTATTGAAAATTATAGAATTAATTACAATCAAATTTGAAAAATTCACTTTTTTACTAAAAATTTTTTTGTTTATTTAGATTCATATTACTGTATAAGAAAATTTTATTCTTTCTATTAAGACGAATGCACTTTATTTTATAAATGTTAAATTGTATTAAAAATTATTTAAAAATGAAATATATTTATCGTTAATGTTTCCTCCACGAGGAAGCAAATTTTTTTTATGATCGTAAAGAGGAAGCAAAATGTTCATGTAATGAACATCTGGATTTACAACTTGTTATGAAAATAATTGAATTTCAGAAAAGAATTTTATTACTTATAAAGATAATTAAAATTTTAACAAGAATTTTTAAAAATGTGTCAGAATATTGTCATGTATTTTGCTGATACGATATTTAGCTCAAATGTTATTATCTATTCAACCAGAAAAATTACAACCAACATGCTTACCCCACAAGGTGTACAAGCTCACATAGCAAGTTTTCTGCAAGATTGATTGGTAATACAAATATGTTTTGCAATGTAAACTTCTGCATGATTGCCATGACAACTTGATGCAAGTTTATAATAAAGATTATAATTATTAAATTATTATATTATAAATTCTAAAGAAAAACTTGACACGATGAGCAGTTGAATTCTATGGTACCTAAGGCTACGCAGTACATTTTTTTATCTCTATTATGGTTCTCAGTCCTTACATAATTAAGAATATGTCATATCACAAAAAAAGTTAATTAAACTTAGTTAAATTCGTTTTCAGTAAACTTGCCCGGTAGGCCTATTCCAATCTTGCAGCAAGTTGACACTTTCAGATTTCATTTTCACCAATCTTGGAGGAAGTAAACTCTAAAATCTTGCAACAAGTTTACATTGTAAGCTTTGGATAAAAGGATATTTTGTTACTTGCTTCAAATTTGCAATAAATTTGACCAATAATTTAGACCACCTAACCAGGTAAGCAAATTGAACGTTTGATGCAAGTTTTTTGGCTCATTGGGTAAAATCACAGAAAAAAACTCTTGGTTCAAGCGGATTCCTCTTTGTTTGATGCATGTTTTCCTCTAGAATATGATTAAAAAAATGTCCTCTTTTTTCAGGAGGATTATTCTCTACTTGACAGTATACCTATTCATCTTAAAAAGAGAAGAAATACTTCCCGATGATGAATAATCTTCTTAATTGACGTATAAAATTTAAGAGGAATTTTCCTTTAAACACAAGAATACTTTTTTCGGTGATTGCATGGCAGTCTTCTCAATATTGCCCGTAAATATTGAGACATTAACTATGTCCGCCCCATGTCAATATATCCTGCAATGTTAATACAATATTTTTTCGTAATATTAAAAACCTCAAAATTGCCTGACAATATTGCATCAACACTGCCAGGCAAAGTTGCCTCAGGGCGGATATTGTCAATATTGTGGCAATATTGCAATTAATATTGCGGTGCGACATTTCCTTACAATATTGACACAATATAGAGCTAAAATGTTATTTTATTTGAGTTTATATATATTTGCTAATCAATTTCAGGAAGCAAAATGTTTGTGAAATAATTAAATAAACAATTTATTATAAATTTTAATAACATATTACATTATTGTCTGAAAAAATTATTGCAAACACCATTTAACAAAAACCAATTTAAAATTGAAAGTAAATTTAATAATTTTGGTTTTTATTGAAAGCACAAATATTTATGCATTTTTTGAAAAAAGTAGTTTAGGAAAAATAAAGTATTTTTAATATGAAAACATTTACATGGATGTTCAAAAGTAGTAGTGAATTGATTTGCGAGGATTCATTGACAGTTCTACTGTTTATATTGCTTCTTGTCACAGATTTATTGATCGAAAGTGCAGATAGTATATGTACTAAGAAATAATATACTTTAAAAATGTAAAAAATAAACTTACTCGACATAATGGGTAGGTATGTAAGATTTTTAAAACCTCGTCCTTTTTTACTTCTGTCATTGTGTTGTTATTAATAATATAATTTGTAAAGTTTTCACTTAGAAACCTAGTGTATTCATATCTAGACTGTTTGCTACTGAGGCACCCTCATTCACCCTCTTGTGAGTCACTTTCATCGGAATCAGGGGTGCGCATTAAAAGGAGATGTACTACCCCAAAATACTATAAAAATGTACAGACCAACCACTCTTGTCGTGAATAAGTAGAGATTTATATATATTTTTTATATAAAAGTATGAAATATATATTTTGTTAGCTTGTTACAAATAAGTTGCGAAAAATGTTATCCCATAAGGCTATAGTAGATATGTAACACTGGAAAAAAAATTATCCTTGTTTTTAACATCTCACAACAGTATTCCATTAAACGTTAAATGTAACTTTTCAGATAAGTGAACTACCAATTATTACAGTCTAAAATATCATGTAATTCAGGGTCGAACAATTTAAGCCCATATTAGTGCAAATTTTGTTATTTAATATTTATAAAAAATTAAATTTAAATCTAATCATTTGTTTGTTTTCTTCTATGTGAAGCTAACTGGAATAAAATAAACTGTTGTATATTAACTAATTTACAAACAACACTTTTTGTTTGTAGACAAAAACAGATAATAATTAATATGACATGTTTGTAATTCTATAATATTACTTTTAAAAAATAAATAATTATAAAAACATTCCCTCATATCACTAGATGTCCCAGGATTTTATGGAAACATCTCGTGGATACCCTAGGGATATCCTAGAGACCGACAGATTAGATATCCTAGGGGGACATCATCAGGATATCCGTAAGATATCATCTAGACATCCAAAAAATATGCTAAGAACATTCATAGGATATCCCAAGAATATCCCTAGGTTATTAACAGGATATCCTTGCATTAATTCTAAGATATCCTTAGAATATATTCACGATACACATAAAGCAACTCATAGCATTAGATATCCTAGGATATTATGTAAACATCCCGTCGATATCCTAGAGATGTCCTAGAGATATTTAACATATAATATAAGGATATCCTAGAAACCCGGCGGTATGGATATCCCAGGGAGATTCTAAGGATATCCATAATATATCCTCTGGACATCCAAAAAATATCCCTACGTTGTCTCGAGGTATTCAAAAATATTCCTAGGTTATCCGCAAGATATCCTTGCATTAATCCTAAGATATCCATTGAATATCATCACGATATACATAAAATAACTTTCGAAATTAAAATACTATTATACAAACATAATAATTTATTTATATATTCGAAAATATACTGGCAATGCTCATTCGTACAGAGTACTATAAATGTAACAAAAATAATAAAAAAATTAAATTTAATATATATACATATAGGTATATATATTATATATTATTATATATAATAATTTGCTATTCCGTGAACAGAAAGTGTCGTATTTTGTTTTTCTATAATTAATGACTTGACAGATGATTTTGATATATTTTAAAGTGCTGTTTCTATTTGTGTGTCTGAAAAATTAGAGCATATGACTTTCCCCAAATTCTAGTTTATACTTGTAATTGTTATTTAATATGTCAATCGGTTAAAAATTGTGGTATAAAAATCAATTTGTCCAAAAGCGTGTTTTTTGACACACTGTGGTATGTAGAGGACATTCTCAGGATATCCTAAAAATATAATAAAAATTTCTCTAAAATAGTATTTTAATTTCTACCCTCATAACAAATGGATATCCTGAGGATATCTTCAGGATGCCCTGAATAAATATAGGATATCTCGAGAAAGTCCACATGATATCATAGGATATCCGTAGGTTATCCATGGGATATCAAAATCGCCGCTTTGTAGGATATTTTTGGAATATCTAGAGGATATTCTCAGGATATATTAGGGATATAAAAAAATATCTTTAGAATGCCCTGAGATTATTTCTAGAACGTTCAGAGTCAATGTAAAAAAATATTAACATTATTGTTGTCCGCACCTCAGAAGCAATTTTTTCTTTTGCTAATTGTTAATTTTAATGTTAGAAGTAATTTTAAAGAAATGCAAGAAAATCCAAGGCTTGAAAAACTGTATATTTGAAATGTTTGACGAGGGTTTTCGACAAATTCTTACTAAATAAATATTCCCTCGCCTTGGAAGCAATTTTTATCATTTGATAATTGTTTATCTTTATGTTAGAAGCTATTTAAAAAAATTGCGAGATGATACAAGGCGGAGAAAGCAGTGGTTTTGATTTTTTGTTACGGATTTTCCAGAAATCCTGGAATATAAAATAAATCATTATTGAAAAAAAATAAAAATCACTACTTTCCTCGCTGTGGATCGTCTTGCAAATTTTTTTTAACGACTTCTAACATTTAACATTTAATAAACAATTAACGGAAATTTTTTTTTAAAAATACATACGTTTTATGCAAAATTTTATTAGCATTAATTAAAAAAGAACTTTGTCAATCGGTTAAAAATTGTGGTATAAAAATTAATTTGTCCAAAAGCGGATGTCCTCTATATAGTCTGAGGATATTCTTGAGGTATCCTTAGGATAACCTGGGAATATCATACGGACGTCCTAGAGATATCCTTAAAATATCCTACAAAGCGGCGATGTGGATATCCCATTGATAATCTTCGGATATCTGCAGGATATCCTTTTGTTGTGAGTTTTAATTTACGAAAATAATTATTTATATAACTAGTGATTAATTACTTCCTCATAGAGGAAGTATTGTAAAAGTATTGTAATACCAAACTTTTTTGAATTCGATTTTTTGACATATCTTTATGTTATTTGACCTCAGGAGTTCAAGTGTGGAGTTCAGTGTGTGAACATCACATTTTCATAAATATCTCGAAATCATGAAGAGCTTTTGGGTTGAATTTATTTTTAAATTGTAGATCTCACCTGCGGGCATAAAATGAGAGTATTTTGAGATAGATTAATGAAGTTAAACTAAATTTTTTTTGGATTTTTAATTTTGCAAAAAAACGTTTTTTGCCCATAACTTTAAAAAAATGTTAGGACACCTATAAATGTTTTTCCATAATTGTGTAGAGTTTTTTTAGACGCATCGCATCTTTTGAGCTCTAATTGAACATTTTTCGTCCATATTTACCGGAGATATTAAACTTTTAAAAATCAAAAATTTTTGAAAATAAGACTTTTTTGAAAATTTTGTTAAAAAATGTAGAAGTAACTTCAAAATTATCATTACCAACTTATAGAGCATTAAAAAACGCTTCGATTGACCTATTTTTGAACCTAATTCGATAATAAATTTCGAAATTATTGGTATTTTAAAAACCAAAAATTGTGGAATATGACATTTTGACAACTTTTTTGTTTGAAAATTTTTGTTTAACTATTCAAATATTATAACTATATTGTAGAGCATTTAAAAATACATTGATTGACCCAAGATTCAATCACTTTTACCATATTTATAAAAAGTTATTGATATATTTCTATTATTTTTATCTCTATGAGGAAGCAAAGTGTTCATGAAATGAGCACCAAAATTATAAAAATATACAACTTGGGAGCGGTTTTTTAGATTGTTAGAATAATTTCCATAGTAGGTTATTAGTTTTTAAATTTAGTACATATGGGTCACCCTACTGACTTTCGTTTTTTTCAATTTAAAAAAAAAATTTAATTTAATTTTTAAAAAATCTAGATTCAAAATATGTGAAACTAGAAGGCTTCTTGCGTTCATTGACCATAATATTATGATGTAGACTAGAACGGAGTGAGGCAGCCCATTGCTTCTTATTTCTGTATCATTTTTTTAAATCGTGCGCTGTTGATAATGTAGAATGCTTATGGTAGTTTACTTTAGTTACTAACAGATGGGCATTATTTCTGCAGCGTTTAGCAGTGAGAGTTAATTTTGTGACTTTTTAGTTAAAGAATTTAGTTTAATAATATTGTAGTTTACATTTTATAAACAATTGTTTTAAGAATAACAAATTTATATTTCCTTAAAATGTTAAATTGAAATTAATTAATGTTATTATTATAATACTAGCACAAATAACGCGCGCGTGATGTTTCTTATTTCACTTTTAACATATATAACAATAATGTAATTTATACATTACATGTCAGATGAAAATAAGACTTAAATTTTGATTCCATTAAGCATGTTATCTTTTAAGGTTGACTATTGTTCATAGGAAAGCGTGAATGCCAATGAGACGATAATGGAAGATTTGTTCATTACATTATTTTTGACTTATTAATTATCAAAAATAAGTTATATTTAATTACAATTAATTACTTGTTTGTTATTTTGTTTCTAATAGTTTTCTACTAAAAAAAATTAATATTATTTTCATGTCATTAACGTTCAAAAATTCAATTATTCTAAAGAATTCTACACAAAATCACTATTTTTCTAAATTTATTCAGGGAAATCAGGAAAAAATCAGGGCATTTTGTCAAAAGTGGTGGAATAATATTCAATTTCAAGAATTCATAAGAAAATTTTAAATGTTATTCTTCAGCATTGAAAAGATTTTATTTATTTCAAAGTCTTCCTGTTTTTAACAATAGGGTAATGTTACCTTGAGTGGACAGCCTAAGCTTTTTTTCTAAAAAATTCTTTATGAAAGCAAATTAATCGAAGGTTTCTATTCCAAGCTTTAGATTAGATCCCTAGACAAGTGTTTATACCAAAATAGCTTTGATTTTTTTTAATTGGAAAAAAAATTGACTTAAAAAAAGCTAATTTTTAAGGAATGAAAAAAGTGTAACCTTGAGTGGACCACTCCTAAAAAATTGCAAAAGTTATTCTAAATTCTTTAATGTATTTAATATTTCCCAGATAACAATCGTGCGTCGCACGTTTCTCGCACCACATGCGATTCGCACTAGTGATAGCATTTTGCGTGCAATTTAGCAGTCACCTGTGATGCAGTCACTGGTGAGAGTAATATGAGTCGCGCCCAAGCATCACCGTATGCTTGTCGCACACTGTATCGCACGATAAGTTCGCACATGAGAGTCATCAGTGATGGGTACATAAGTGCGAGTCATATGAGTAGTATATATGAGGATTATGACAAAATATTTTTAAGTCTTATTTAAAAAAT